CACTGGGTGTGACATTAACATTTCGAAAGTGTTAAAATAAAGTGTTAAAAGTATCACCAGTGTATTATAATTAACAAAGGAAATTGTGGTGTTTGGAAGGTTTACATACACCATCAAACTGAGAGTATAAATTTAACACAGAGTTAATATTAAACTCTTTGTACATTACTTAGTAGTTAGTGAAAATGTACAATGGTGTCACCCTTCACACACCAGGACAGACCTCTCACTCATGGTGTTGATTTTCAGCCAATAACATAAACTTAAAGTTGAACAACTTGATCAAACTGAACAAGAAAACAAACCAGAACAACTAATTTTTACTCTCATGAACCTCTTTAATGGTCATAAACAAAAACATCATTTCTGCAAGATTTCTCAGCAAGGAATGCTGGGTAAATACTGGTCAGTCTGACATGAGGTGGAAGAGGGCGGGGCTTTTCAGAAAACTTCTTTCAACACTGCATGGTGACATTTAATAACACTGTTAAGTGTTACATGAGACTTGACTGTGGGCGGAGCTTATTTAACACTGTCCAGTGTTGAGACAACACTGAGGAAATCAACACTGTGAATAAACACCAACACTGGGTGTGAGTGTACCCAGAAAGTGTTAAAATAACACAAGGTGGTGTTAAATTAACACCCAAAGGTTTAACACTGAAATTTTAACCCTCCTGTTTTTGCTGTGAACTCAGCAGTCACTCAGCTTTCAGTATTCACTGTTTTTATAGCATTTCACTTGACTTTAACTCATTGTTTACCAGATTAATAAACTTACAGGATATCTGTTTGACCACCTTCTAATCATTTTTAAATTTTCTGCTCAGTGAATACTAAACTTTAGTTTAATAAAAACACTGTTTATTTAATGCATCTTTTAGAAAGTCCTCAGATGTCATCTCTATGAGTTGTTAAAAACTTTATTATTACTTTGGTTGTTTCTATAAGGATCTTGAGACTATTATAAACCAGTGTTTCAATAAGTTGGGTCGGGACCCAAAGTGGGGTCCCAAAACATCAAGTTGGGGTCCTGAAAATATTTTCTGAATTAATTACATTTTTGGCTTAGTTGTTACAAAGGAGTGAGGTTAGTATATTTAAAATGGATAAATGTAGTATAAAAATATTTTTACAATGCCCATGTTTAGTTCACCTGATACAAATGTTTATCATCAAAAATAGTTGGGGCCRCAGGTCTCTGCTACTGTTATTTTGTGGGTCAAAAGCTGAAAAGTTTGGGAACCACTGCACTTTGGTTCCCAAGGTTGGGCTTGGGACCCAATTATGGGTCATGAAGCACATTGAATAATCTCCAGAAATCAATTTAAAGGGTAATAAAATAATTGCTGATGCAATATTTTCCCTATAATTATTACAAAAACGCAAAATAAGTATAAAGAAGTATTTATATTTGTGCACAAGCTGTTTAGATTGTCAAAAAGCCTGTGTTTTTAGGGTTATTAACGAAGTTCATGTACTCAGACCAGTAATATTTGGGGTCAAAAGTTTTTGCCATGGTTATTTTGTGGGTCAGAAGATAAAAATTTTAGGAACCACTGTTATAAACCACACCTGTTCTCTGTAACTGTACTGTTGTTGTAACTCTCTTCCTCAAATCCCGTAGTTGTAAACTAACTACAAATACTGTTACTGTACTTAAGTAGAAATTTTGGCTATCTGTACTTTACTTGAGTAATCATTTTTCAGCCTACTTTTTACTTCTACTCATTACATTTTTACACAATTACTGTTTACTCACTACATTTTTAAAAAAGTTAGAAGTAGAAAGTTGTTACTCCCATTTCATTACGACTTGTTGTTGTTAAAAAATACTATCCTGATAAACTGTACCTCCTGGATAGAGTGAATTTAATTGTGGTTGGATAAGAAATATAAATATATAAACATTATGGTACTGTTTTAGTTTGTACACAATCCATCACAGCTGCAAATAACACAAATCATGTCACACTCCAGGACATAGCAGATAGACTGTATGTATAATGATATACAGTATATGCCGTATATGCTGAAACAAGTATATATATGTATATGCTGAAACAGGTAGACCAGTGCATCCTAATTTTTTTAACATTAACATTTTTATCTTACATTAGTCATTTTGGCCTGTAGAAAAACCTTTGTTGAGGGTGTCACCTCGCAGTAAATGTCATTTTGGAAAATCAAGTACATTTTATGTCAGAAATTTCCTTTTGATACTTAAGTACAAAATATATTATACACTTCAAGACTTTTACTCAATTAATATTCTCAGAGGAGACTTGAACTTTTACCAAAGTCATTTTATGGTAAGATACTTGTACTTTTACTCAAGTATCACTTTGAGGTACTTTATACAACTTTGTAAAATCCTGATGTGTTCAGCAATATTTCTGTTTTATTGAGAATGCATCCCATCCTAAACACAATGCTGACTTTGTTTAGCTGTCTCTGTGATCTCAGGCCATAACAAGGTGAACATGCAGCGCCGTGTCTCCCTGCGTGGTCCTCACATGGAGAGGAGCATCCTGCTGTCGATGACCTCATCCCTGCAGGAGGAAGAGCTCACACCAATCTGCCTTAAAAAGGAAAGCTATCCTGAGAATCGTAAAGCAGCTCCGTTTCTTTTCCTTTTTTAATTTGTTTTGTTTGTTTATTCAGAGTCAAATCTACTGTTGTCAGACTTTAGGTAGACTGTGCACCTTTTGTTTTATTCATTAAACATTTATGAAACAGAAAGTAAGATAAAACATGCTTCTTTTTTACACACATTGATTCCTTGTTTGGGCTGTTTTTAAAATCATATTAGAATAGTAATGATGTAATGTCTTGAAAATATGAATGTCTAACTTTTGTTGTTGTCTCTGTGATCTCATGCTATGAATGAAAGTCACAAACCAAAGTTCATTATTCACAAAATATTTGCATCAAAATACATATTTTTTCACAGTTCTTACACTAGTAAGTTACTGAAGACAGTTAAACCACTGTAAACACAATGCTGTTCATCATTAAAAGATTAGGCTGCGGTAAATTAAATGAATTTAAGTTTAGTTTACTGTAAACAACAGCAGTCTTTGAGATTAAAATAAAAGGTTCTAAAATGAATATTATATATTTTTTTTTAATATTTGTTCTGTGATGTTTTACATCCATAAGAGTACACAGGAGTGTGTGGTTGTTGTTAGTTTTGCGGTCATTTTGTTGTGGAACACTAAACAATAGCTGGTGTCAGTATATGTGCTGCTATTTTAACAAACTATTAGTACATAAAGTTTTTCATTCCTCATACACATTTAAAGGATTATTTGTGTATTTTAATATTATCTAGCCTTTGATATAGAATTTTAAGGAAGAATTTAGCTATTTTTGGCTTTTAGCCAAACTGTTTGCTGTCTTTAGCTACTTTTTGCAGCTTTAGCTTGTACACAATGTTTTACTTCTTTACCTATTTTTCTATTCTTTGCTGTCAGCTAGCCATTTACTGATTTTAACTTCTAGTTATTTAACTTCTTGATGTATTTTGTGTCAGGATCTGTGTTTTTGGTTATGTTTTAAAGGTAATTTGGTCACTGTCTTTTGCTTGTCTTGTTTTGTTTAGTTGTTTTATATACTGTTTTTTTTGTTTTTTAGATTTCTTGACTCAAATTTTATTTCTCTGTGCATCCAGCTTTAGTCTGTCCTGCCCCTCCTATTCACACCTGTTCCCTGTAATCATTAGTCACACCTGTAGCCACTTACCTCATCAAACTCAGTCTGTTTATTCTTCCAGTCCTCGCTCACCTTTGGTCAGTCATTCTGGTACTCCCCTGGTTCCTGTGTTCTTTTTGTTCTTTCACCCTAACAGTCACTGGGCTGATAGTCCAGAAGGTCCTCTATGAACAGCAGGAATAATCAGGGAATTAACAATCGATTGTTAAGATGGTCGTGTTCTGTTTCTGAATAAATTGTCATCATTCAACTTGTTTATTCACCACGTTTATAAGGAAAGTTCTTCATTAAACTTATTTAGCAAAATTACAAACACTTCTACTACAGTCTGTGTCACCCACATCTACTATAGGCGTGTGTGTGTGTGTGTGTGTGTGTGTGTGTGTGTGTGTGTGTGTGTG